TGTTCGACACATATGCAAGCACTGTATCGAACGGTTCAATATCAATACGAGTATCGTTGCACCCCTAACATATATATAATTGCACTAACCTGCACTCTAAAGAGCATCTTTTCTCTCTTCAGTCTTGTACTTTAAGGCTACATGTGATCAAATAGGCCCTGAAACACGTTGAATGTGTGAACTTCTGGCTCCACCTTCATTAGAGCGCTGCAATAAATTCAGCATAATATGACAACATGCACAATATTTTAGAACATCTAGAAGCTTTCATACTGAAAATCAACGACTTTCTAGATGTGCCCACTATGGTCCTTGTGGCTTTGTCCTAAATATACTTGCTTGGTCTTTAGATTCCTTGTCTTTTATATAGTACTTAGAATAGAGTAGAATAGAATAATCCTTTAATTGTCCCACAAGGGGAAATTTGGTTGTAACAGCAGCCAAAAAGACACATATACAAACAAACAGTACACAGGACACGGAACAGAAACATACACAATTTCTCTTACATATTTACATTAAGGACAGTGGTTACTATATACAGAGAGTACTGTACAGTTATTAAATTAAATAAAAATAACTACAGATAAGAGGCAAACCAGGTTGTAGTGCGAATCGGTTAATTAACTTATTGCAGTCACAGCACAGATGTAAACATCTATGTTTGTTGGGAGCAGTTCTGATTGTACAGTCTGACAGCTGCAGGGAGGAAGGACCTGCGGAAACGCTCCTTCATGCATCTAGGATGCAGCAGTCTGTCACTGAAGAAGCTCTGCAGTTCAGCAACATTTACATGCATGGTTAGTATCTTTGATTGTATTCATAGTAGGCACAGGTTATTCCCACTCCAGTAAGGAGAGATCATTAATAATCTAGCTGCTCATCAGACTACAATGAAACTACACAGAAGAGCTGAGTCCAACAATAGTAAGAAGTAGGGTATGACCCACTGATGTTGACTTGGATAAGAATCTCTGTCTGGTTAGGATGATGTTGAGATTGACACGAGGTGGGTCACATAAATGAGAGTCTGGAAGGTAGGATGACACAAGTACTGAGATGTAAAGCAAGTGGAACAGAGACCAACTCGAGAAAATGACTGGGCCTAAGTAATGACGACTGTATTGAGTTTGACATTGTGGGAAAGCAGGAGTGTTGTGAAGAACAGAATGGAAGAATTAGTGATTACAGATCTTTCCTATTAACCTTACACATGAGCTTTGTTCTATCACACACATCATGGTGATGCATTAAAAACTGAAAACAAGCACATTATACTTGAGTAGTGCTTATTTAAGCTGCACAGTACTTCAGTTAATTGACTCAAAAGGAAGAAAATGGCAACTAATAAAAACATTCAAAATACATAATTTCATTAAAAAAATATAAACAAATTAATTTGATAACTGTCTGTGTAGGTTCTCAGTCATTCAGGTCATGGTGATCTTAGGAGCTTGGAAAGAAAAATCATCTGGACGTTTCACCTCTCATCCAAGAAGCTTCTATAGTTTTAAAACCAATTGATGGCGAGTCCCAGGTATTTAAGTCCTACTGGGAGTTTTCCCTTATCAGGGTTGTTGACCCACTATTGATCATGTACCACATCACATGAGCCAAGGTATGAAAAAGGGTGTGGGTCACTATCAGCAGAGGTTTGGGGTGAAACCATTGTGAGACCTTGCCCCATTGTGAGACCTTACAAGCCTATCATGTGACTTAGGTAAGTCACATGATAGGCTTGTACCAAAAGGTCTGGCTCAGCATTCAAAAGCAGCTACAGTGAGTTTAAGTGGGTTTGTCTTCACTACAGCTACTGTGCTGCAAGTGGCACATTGACCTTTTTTGCATACACCCGCTGAACAGAAGTGCTGCAGGGTCTGCTCCAGCTCTCTGCACACAGTGCTATCTACCGCATTACCACTGCTTTGTTTGTTTTCATCTCACAATGCTGGTGGCATTTGGAACAGAGCGTTCTCTCTGTCTCTAACTATTTCTCCTTTCTTCCCTGCAGCTTATTCAGACTCTGAAGAGGTTGATGAGACCCACCTCCGTTGAATTTAAGTCCCCACTAGAGCTGTCGGCACAGGGTGAGAGTAAAACATGCTCATCTGTAAACAGTTTCATTTAAGCTCTGGTAATAACTTTTTGCTGCAGATAACCCACTGATTCGACCTGTGATGCAGAACCACAACGTGCACACACACACTAAAAAAACACATGTACAGTGTTTGTATTGATTTAATGCTACCATCCTCAGTGGTACTCTTTCTGAATGTTAATAGTGGGTATTAGTCAATGCCAAGGAGCTGCTTAGCTATAAAGAAAGCTTGCTAGGGAATATGAGCAAACACAGACTTGCGAACTCTTCTGAGCTTTTAACAGATACCTCATCAATCATTTCCCTGACATCTATGGATGCCACGCTAATTATTTTCCTATTAAAACATAATTATCCCAGCTGTGCTTTTTCCCATCCTCCGCTGACCCACCACACTCTGCTCCTTCACCACGTTTGTCTCTTTTTCTCCACATACATAGAAAATGCAGCAGTGTGATAAAGCATGAAGCACTTGCTGTCGAAAGAAAAAATTTGACAAGATAATCCAGCAAGCCAGAGATCATCTCTGGAACCTGATGACAGCCAGAAGATGAAACTTGGCATCCACGTTGGAGTTTATTATACACAAATTTCAAGGTCAACGTATGCAGTGTAGATTGCATTCTGCATATTGAATAGTTGGCTAAGTGCACATATATTGCCTTGAGCACAGTGAAGCACTCATGCTTTCTAGGTCATTGATGAAAAAATATGAATTCCATAAATGGTAAATGGCCTGTATTTGCATAGCACTTTACTTAGTCCCTATGGACCCCAAAGCGCTTTACACATTCAGTCATCCAACCATTCACACACTGGTGATGGCAAGCTACTTTGTAGCCACAGCTGCCCTGGGGCGCACTGACAGAGGCGAGGCTGCCGGACACTGGCGCCACCGGGCCCTCTAACCACCACCAGTAGGCAACAGGTGAAGTGTCTTGCCCAGGACACAACAACCGAGACTGTCAGAGCCAGGGCGCAAACCGGCAACCTTCCAATTTCAAGACGAACTGCCATCTCTTGAGCCACGATCGCCCCGTAAAATAAAAACATGAATATAAAATCCCTGTATATGAGGGGAGCGATTTTATCCTCTGAGAAAAGAACGTCTTATCCATTTTACTTTCAAGAGGTCAACAGCAACTAGAGGCAACTGGTGACTCAAAAAATGGAAGAGAGGAAGAAAACCAACCTGCGGCATCATGTTCCTTACAATAGCTGCCTAAGCTTAAGCTTTACTTTTTGTGACTAGTAGACAGTATATAGTCAGCTTTGGTCCTTCCTTCCAACCAGTCATTTTATGTAATATATTGATCTCCCACTGTTTCTCATAAAAAACCTCATTGCACTCAGCTTTCACATTCTATGAGCCATCAAATGTTGGGGGTGGAGTTTGGGTTAAGTTCGTGTCCAACCCTTTTATATAATTTTCACCTATTTGGATTACCCATATAATAAGGTTTATGACAAATAGACTGTAATGTAAAAGCAATGTATCGATCTTTCACTGAAAGGTAACGTCTAGTTTCTGAAAAACTGCTTTTTAGCATGTGATTAAATAAAAACCCAACCCTAAAGCTACTCCTAACCTTAGACTGTTTGCTAGTGACCTGGTGGATGTTAAAAGGCTGAAATATGGATGCATTCCCTTTAACTTCAAAGCACTGTTCAACTGAAAGAAAAATCAAAGTATTTAACCACATAGTCAGACCTGCAAGCAGCCAATCCAGTTCTGTGACTTACTTCCAAGTGCAGATAAGAGAATTCAATATGCTGAGTGCACTATCGACATATCAAAGGCTCATTTAAATTTTTGATTTTGCACCATGTAAAAAATGCCTCCTCCTCATCAATGCTTCATCTTTCTAACAATAACAGCAGCAACAGCAGTGAGAGTCACGACATCAGCCTGAGCTGCTGTTGTTAGCTTTGCCAGTCAAACACACATACACACTCCCAACAGCTGCTGAGAACCACGAAGCAGGACCAAAAAAGCATGTTTCTTCAGTGATGTGGAAACTCTTCAGTTTTACAAAGTCTGACATCAAACACCAACGTATCCTGTGTAAAGTTGTTAAACCTCAGTTTGAACTAAAAGTAGCAGCACAACACATCTGTTCCAACATCTAAGACTACAGTACCAGTGAAATGACAGTAACATGTTTCGTACCTTTTCATTTCCCCTCTGGTCTGATTTTTTTTTTTTTACATTTTCTAAATAATAATTAATATTTTTTCTAACTGGACTTGAAACTAATATTTCCGTAAGCATTAAAATAGTCCTTCAACTCCATTTGGTTGTAATATTACTGGAACAGTGACAGATTATAGCACCACACACAGCCAATGGCCCCAACTCTGACCCATATTTTGCTTCTTCCATAATCACAGTGATTTCAGCTAATTACATGGCGTGTTCGTTGGTCATACTTTCACATTCATTAGGCATGTTTTCATCTACCTTTATGTGCACAACACTGTGTGGATAATCTGAGCGTAAGATGAATCACCTTTTTGAACAAATTTTGGGAAAAAACATTCATCCTATTATGAAAGTTTACCTCAGATTCCATATATGTTAAACTGGCGGTGGCACTCCGTCGCAAAGTGAGTTGAAGATCCAATGCCACCATGTGCAGGTTAAATCTCAACAAGAAATTTAGACTGGGATTGGATTCTGACTGGATGAGCCATCAGCTGATGTGTGCTTATGTTGAGAGTTGCCTGAATTGCTACTAAATATCTAGACCTACAAAAACTAACATCCAAATTCAGTCATCATAAATTTCACTAATTTCATGTAGGTCTTTCTCTGACCTGTCAAAGCATGGATACAGGACTTCTGTAGGGGTTCTGTGGTATCTGGCTCTGGGATTTTGGTAGCAGATGCTCTGCATCCTGGGGGTTGCATGTTGACGCTTGTTCTGGCACATTCTATAGATGCCTGATTAGTTTGGGATGTGGGGAGTTTGCCATGCTCCCTGAACCTTCTAAACCTTTGAAAAGCTCTAAATAGTTTTTCATCAACTCTGTGGGTGAAGAGGGGAAGTTAGCTACTGCTAGGGTGTGTCTATATGCCCGTTGGTGTTGTTTCTGCATCATCATAATAATGTTGGTCCAGGATCAACATTGCAATTGATCAGTCATTTGTTTGCAATATGGGGAAAAAAGAACACATGCCCTGTTTATATAAAACTTTCTTCTGGAACACATTTCAGGTGTTTTAATCATTCATTTATACAGTATAGTAAATATTTAAATTTAGATTGCTCATGATGTTTGTTAGTGACAGTTTTTAATAGGATTAGCTCATTTCATTCCCAATGCTAACCAATTGCTCAGGCCACGTCAGTGGTCAGTTGCATTGTTGATCCTGGACCAAAGTTATTATGATGACGGGGACATTAGATTGTGCGCTGCCCCTCAAGCCTTTGTTGGCATTCAAAAGGTGGAGGGTGGGGGTGGTGACTCAGTCTGTGTTTAGGTGGGTGGTATGCTTCAAAGAAACATGGTTTCAATCACACCAATAAAGATGAGACTGAGCCAAATATTGAAAGCTGAAAGCACGCAACCCATATATTTTCTAAATATACAAACACAATGTAACTCATCTTCAGTTATACGGTATGGAATTACTGTCACACAAGCCTAAAGATTGCCTTATATTCAGGCCAGTATGGCCAAGATAAATGTGATTCAGGTAAAACCACACAGCAAATGATGCCTCCAAAACATTTTTAAGAGTTAAGAGTAATTTGCTATTTACACACTCTGCATTTTCTAAGCATGTTTAATCTCTCTTTGGATGGATGCCAACAGCTGCACAGGTCAGGCCAGATAAACTGAAACACCTGAACAAAAATGCACTCTTTGTGATGTACTCATTATTTAAGGTGAATGACCTGCAGTGTGCACAAAAACACTTATGTGGTCCCCAGAGTAACAAATAATGTAGCAGGCAAAGGATGATGTAACATACCTGAATTGTAGGGGTGATGCTGGATGAGTTCGGGTGATTTTGCCAGTATAGTGTGTGTGTGTGTGTGTGTGTGTGTGTGTGTGTGTGTGTGTGTGTGCGTGTTTCTAACCAAGGCTTCTTTTTGTTTTCCTCTGGCTGCAGGCAAAGAGATGATCGAAATGTATTTTGACTTCCGCTTGTTTCGCCTGTGGAAAAGCCGCCGGCACTCCAAGCTACTGGACTACGACGACCTCTTGTGACACCACCCAGTGTTCTGTTGGCTTGTCGGCCAGTTATTGCGAATCTGAGCCTACCTTTGTACGGTGTCAAGGCATTTGGTTGAAGTGGGGGGGCTCCTCTCCTCTCCAGAGAGGTTCCTAGACCGGCTCTCTGTGCACAGCTGGAAGCTGGAGCAGCAGTGGAGGCAGCAGCAGTTGGGTCTGTTTTTGTAAGCCCTTCTGAAGCGATGGGGTGTGGCCCTGTAGATTCAGCCAGCGGTGTGCTTTCTCACCTGCACCTATTTTCACTTTCTGCCTCTGCCTAACCCTAGAAAAGAGAAAGAAGGGGGACAAGAGTGAGTTGGAGAAGCAAGTGACTCATCATCCTAGCCTAAATGTGTCAGAAACGCCAACTACACTTAGATTTCTGAGTTCAGAGAGACTATTAGATACAAGAGTGACAGTGGAGAATCTCTGTCTGAGATTTGAGGATGTTTTTTTCTTGTCCCACCTTTAGCCAACCTATCTGCTCTTGTTAGGAGGCTTATAAGTATGGATTTATAAGTTATTTACAAAGGAATTAGAGCTTATATGTAAATAAACAAGTGCTTGCTAGAGCATTAGAGAATACATTTTCAGCATCTCTCGCCATGCTGTCATGTGATAATCTGGACATGTGATTAGTCTTATTAAGAATTACAGTTGTCTATTTACTGCAGTCTTTTTTAAAACCTTCATATAAATGTAATAGTATTTCTTACAGACTGTTGTAATAACTCAGGTCAAATTCTTTTGTTTTCTACTAAGAATTGTACTCACCTGTACAACATACTGTAGATCAGAATCAAAGGCCTTCATACTCCACACAGAGTCATCTTCAGTGGAACATCAGGGATGAGCGGAGCTTTTCTCCATTTTCATCTCGCCTTTTGAGTCAGCTGTAGCCAAACAGACAGATGCATCCATGCATGTTTTTCATAACATTACAGCATTATGTTTTAGCCCACTGAGCCACTGCTAGCTGATTTTTCTTGAGCTATTGGTTCGTGGGTTCAAAGCCTTTTGCAGTGTTTGTATTGCACATGTGCATTCAAACCCTTCTTGCATAGCTAGCCTGTAAAGAGGTTTCAGTTGGAGGCTGACATCAGACTCGTTACAGTGAGTGTAATTTATATAGTGCATATTTAGTTCATTCCAACAGTTTTTCACATTTTTGGAGGACTTTCATTCTTTATTTAGCTTGGACATCCAGTGGAGTGGTAGGGGCGATGCGATCCTTTGACTTATTTTTGTTTCCCCTCACCACCAGCTTGTTGTTTCCATCTCAACATACTCTTAATCTTAATCATATAACAGCAACAATGTGTCCCGAACGCTGTCTTTGCCATGCTTATTTCCAGCATTACAGTCCACTGTAAAATGTTTTGCTGTAGCAAGATTTTAAAGATGCACAGGTGTGATTTTGTGTTTTGCTGCCCTACAGTTGGGGCGTTTCAGTCAGACTAACAAATGGTTCAAGCTGAAGCAGCAGAGGCTGCGATAGCTTCATCTTCATTCTTCTGATTGTTCCATTCATAAGATCCTACATTTCCCACAATGCAACATGACTGCTTTTTTTCTTGAGCTCCTCTTGGAATGACAAATGTCTGAATTCTAAACTTAAACTTTGTGTGACACAAAGTTTTGTGGTACTGTTTTTTCTTTTCTTTCTTTCAAAAAATGTGTCATCCAAGCTAAATGACATCATCTGTAGGAATATTTAGCTCCACTCAGGGGCTTAGTGTTGTGTAGATCAACAAATACAATATTGCCATATAGCTGATCATTGCACACTTAGTTTACAATAATAATAAAAGATTTGGGGGACTGTGCTGTTTAGAAATACATGTGCTGGTATTGAATATGAGTATTGAATATGAGTAAATATGGACAGGATGAGTGATATTTACATTGTTTCATCTCAAACTTGTGCTGATGTGGTCATGTTCTCTGTCATATAATCACTTTTTCCTCCCTTCTGCACCCTCAGACCAAAGCACTCTTTCTTATCCGCAGCGCAAGCGGAGAAAAAGCGCTTTGTTTCTTGTTTCTTCCGTGCAGTTTGCTCGCAGAATGAAAATTAGTGTTTGGATTTGGGATGAGTTGTGATATTTTTAAAGTAACACAAGGTGTGATCATGATATGTTTACTAGTCTCTTATACTGTGTCCTGTCTGCATTGTAAACATAGTTCACTGCTTATTTTTCCACAAATTTCAAGCTTTGTTTCAGCTTCTTGGGCCATCCATGTCAGCTGACCTGGAATTAGTTTTCATGAAGCAGTCTTGATAGATAGAAATTACAAAAGACCTCTGAAATCTATTTTATTTACTACATTTAACTACCAAACAGCTCAAAATATGCCCCTCTTATTTAACTGTTATTGTGAGAATTTTTGTGTTCATGGGACCGAAATCTCAAATTTAGAATAGTGGGTCATAATTATGAGTGGTATTGTATAAGCTGCAGAGATAAGGTCTCTGACATGTTTGATTGAATGCAATCTTCTTCCACATATACCTGTTACCATGACATATTCTATGTTTGCTGTGTCTTAAATCACATAATTCTATATTTACACTCATTAATTTGAGTTCGACATTGTGTTCACAATATCAAGTACTGCTCCACAAAGTGCTGCTTGAGTACCTAGAAATGTGGAACATTTCTCAAGCTTAAGGGTCACTGTTAGCTAGCAGATAGACTGCTAGCTAACTGGTAGTCCTTCCGAAAGAGATTTTTATTTTTATTTTTTTTGTTAAGGGTAGATTTTTTTTTCTTCAGGCACTGAAACTAGCTTTGTTAAATTGTTTTGCATATTGCAAATGCCATTAATGGTGAGTGCATGACTGGTCAGCTCTGATTTGAAACAAGCCTGGTAAATCCATTTACTAAACAAGTAGCTATATAGTGTACATAAAGCACTAAATGAAAAAGTATTTGAATTGAGACACACTGTACTTAAACAGGCAGGGATACAATGCTGCTACATACTCTTTTATTCCACAAGGCATGTATCACACAATCTCTGTCACAAGCATTGAGATAATTTGGTGTAATCAAAGGAAAAACGAAGACCTTTCTAGTTCCATAGTTGCTCCTGGTTTGCACCATTAAGTCATGCAGCATACTGTCTCACATGGCATCTGGGTCTTCGAATTACCTCAAATGCAGAGAGAACCAGGGATTTATTTGTTAGGGAATATTTAATGATATTTTCTCTACTGCTACCTTTTTAATTTTCATAAATGTTATGCTCAGTAGAAAATATTGTACATTTTCATTGTACAGTTTGTGTTTTCTTTTTTTGTTTGGTGTTGGTGGATTATGTGTAAGGACCTCATTATACTTTCCATGTGAGTGAGTCTATTAGGCTCAGGTTGGGTCTAAATGATTTTGTCATGAGACAGTGAGCCAATCTATGCAGATGTCTGCATGGCTGGCTCTTTTTTGACTGTGGACACTGGAGATTTTACATTACTGGACAACAACCAGATGGCAGACTTCAAGCGGATCTGAAAGAATTATGACAGGGATGACTTCTTGGCCCTCATGTCTCCTGTACATGTCTGAAACATAGTATAATCAATGCTTGGAGCAACCCATCTAGGGCTGGACTCAGCGGTAGGGTTTGCGTTAATGTCTACCCTGTTTGATAGAATTTTCTTATTTGGAATATTCAAATGGAAAAGCTTTAAACAGAAAAAAATGTGCCTAAAACAATACCCAACCCTAAACCACCCCCAGGTGTGTCAGCGAAGATATGTTTATTAAGAGGTCAGTTTTAAGTGACCTCTAGTTTGAGTGCTGGCCTTAACTGCAACTTATTAGAAGCTGCGCCAGGTTGTTAACATTAATGCACAATATTGAGTGCTGAGTGTGTTAGTGCTGTGGAAATGTGCATTATGCTAAACTGGTCATCTGTTCTAGAACAGGTAATCCCTCTCCTCCTTTGTTATTCAATCTGCCTTTGATTGTGTTTGCTGATCAAACCGCCAACTGTTACTTCAAACAGGAGGCGGCTGTTCAGTATTTAAATTGTAGTAGTATTTTACAGCCGTTGTGTACAGTCTGGCTAGTTTTGCCTGTTCACCTTGTTTACATTAACGTCAAAGTTAGTTGAGGTTGGTGTAAGTTAGTGTAACTCTCAGGCAATTATACAACTTTCAATGTTTCTTTCCCCTTTGTTCAGGCTTTGTGAGCATTTTGGACTTATCATGTGAGGTCGTGCCTGTCCTTTGTGCCCAGTGATCTCTTTGCTTAAAGGTGGTTCTGATCTTAAAAATCGTTGTACATTCATGACTTTCCTTCATGAAGATATGTATTCGTTTAAAGATCAAATACTTTCCCAGTTTGTATTCTGTAGCAGTAATCTGTGTAAGAATATTTCTGTATTGGTATTTCAATTTGTATATTTGTATGTACAAGAGCATTGTTTTAATGACTGTCTTACAATTCTGTGGACAGAAACAGACACTGCAGTGCATGCAGTGTGCTCGCTGCTCGACTCCTTTATATTCTGCAGCAGTTTAGCGCAGCCCCAGTTCTGCTCATACGACCCTCTTCTTTCTCCTCTGCTGCGAGTTTAAATAAAGGCCAAAGCCCAGAGCATAATTACACACCTCTGTTCGACACTTGTAACCACATCTTAAGTCGAGGTGTTTAATCATGCTCTTATAGTAAAAACTGGCACAAGTTTGATGGATTTCTAATGAGTTTTCTGATAACAAAGACAACAGAGACTTTACTGGAGATTCATTATCTGCTGTTAAGCCCACAACATTTTCCCCATGGCTCTGATCAGATAAAACACTTAGCTCTCCTGCTGGAACATAACGCATCAGTGCTAATATTGAGGAAGAGCCCAAGCAGTGTAAAACAACTCGCAGACTTTGTAGACTAGAGCGGTTTTGAGTCACACTGAAGCATTTGGCACCCATGGCAAAGTCAGGTAATGTGCGACATCAGAGATAATATATCAGATCTTTGAATATTACCAGTCAAACACCAAACAGAATTTTACAATGCTGCTACAAAAATCTTTTACATGAAACAATTAGGCTGATTGGTTTGAACTTACTAAGACGAGTTGAGCAAATTTTTTTGCTCAACTTTTTTTTTTTAAAGATCAATTTCTGGCATTTTTAGTGCTTAAAAATATGAAAGTTTACGCAGTGACTACATATCAACCACAGTTATCTTGAACTGGCAATTGTTACATACACAGACTATAAAAAACTCCAGTATCACAGAATCACACAATGAAAGTCAATAATTATGCTTTGTGACTGGAGTAGTAATTGCCTTTAATTTTTTATGAAATTAAGGCATAATCAATTTTCTTTCTCAGTTGTCCCCTTTCACTTTTGTTTGTCCCTATCATTTAAATATGATCAGCAAGTGGAGAAACCCCTGACCAAGGTCACATGAAATACTTCTGAAGATAATACTTTATCTAATGGGATAAATTGTGTTTCCAAATATCTAAAATCACTGAGAGAAGCTTCAGGGTCAGGTATCTATAGGCTACTGGGTTTGTTACTACAGTATCCGCCCCATTCAGAAACAAAGCATACATTATTTCATTAACAATGTTATTGATTAGCAATATTGACCAGTGTCGCTTTAAGATAAAAAGTAAACACCTGTACATATTGGCAGTGGAGAAAGCAGGAAACATTTTTTTTAAAGGAGTCGAGCGGCGACTGCAGACTGCCTTGGCAAACTTCGGTGTGGGAAGCTTTGACAAAACTCTGGCAGTAAAACATGACTCATATCTGGGATGTTAAGCCTCTTCTAATGAGGTCAGGTATTCATATACGTGCAGATGTATTTCAGGGGGAAATGACCACACGCAGTTTGACTTCTCGTGATGGTTCACCGAAGCAGCCATTTCCATTTCTTGAGAGGATAATTACATAAATCAAGAGTTTGAGCTTTGCCTTCTCTTGTTATTTTCCACGTGAAACTGTGTGTCATATTGACAATTGCAAAGATCGCTCAAATTATTATTAAGCATTGTTGTGCCCTCCCTGCTGCTTTGTTCCAGTTTCAGTGAAGATTTCCAAGGCTCAGTTGGGAATGAGTGTGATGAGGATGATGAATTGACGCTGCTTTGATTGCCCTGACATCTCCAGTTGGGCTGTGATTGTATTTCTGGAAGTTTTGAAAATAATATGTCTATGTAATGTCTGTGTCATTTTGGATCAACTTCTAAATAATTTAACTGAGCATTACATTTTGGAATAGATTTTTTAGTCCAACACAGTAGAGTGTGAGATTTATAAATGTTACAGTAAGCTTCATCCATGTGTATGGATAGAGAAAATCTTAAAGGTATGATAGCAATTAACATTACTGCATATAGTGATTTTGATACTAGCATAAGTTTAAACTATTATCTGGGTAGCTTTCCTGAGCTTTGGGGTTTCTTCCTTAGAATAGACATTAGGGAATGCTTCTTATTTAAAGGGCAATGTGTTGTATCTGAACTAATAGCAAGGAAATGTTTTTGCATTGCACAATGTTGGTAATAACCTGTGAAAAAAAGTATTGTTTCTACAGCATTTCCTCCCCCAAGTAAACTATAGTTAAACACAGCTTGTGTCTTTGTCTTATCATTGATTCAGTGGTGTCATTTTGGCCCCCAGGAAGTTTTACCCGGTTTACATTTTGTGTCGCTTCATAAGTAAAAAGATCCTCTCATGCTAAAAATGCATAGGGTTGTGATGCCACAGTGCACTTTGGGATAAAAGTCCCCATTTTATTAAACTTTCTCTTTGTGTGCAGAATCCATGAAATTTTCTTCTGAGCACTCATGCAGTGAAAAAGCCACAGTAACATATTTAGCATAAAATTGTGCAAACATGTATCAGTTACAGAGTGTTGCTAAGGCTCTGTAATGCAGAAGTAAATGCTAAATCTAATATAGCAGCACAGTCACAATGATGCACTAACAAGGAACTTCTAACTACTCAAGAACTTGCACTTTCTGGACCTCCAGTTTCACTGGGGGTACTCACAAGATAGTTCCAAATGAATGGGGACCTATGGACTTGAAGCATAAAAATGTTCATTTTGTGGGGTAAATGTTCTTTTTTTCATGAAGTATTACAAGCACCTAGAGGATGGATGGCCATCAAATTCTGGTTCTCAGAGGATAAACTCGAAATACTTCAATAACACTTTAACATTTATCACACTTTGTCTTGTCATTTTCCATTTATGGTGTGGAAAATGTCTGGATTACTATGGGCTGTGTTCCCATGGTGATATTCAAAGCAGACATTGGTTGATTTAAGATGTTAAAAAGCCCGAAGCGGAGTTTAGCAATGATAAATATTAGTGTACATACAAAGACACTTGGAATAATGATGCATATGATAATGTTTTCTTTTAAAGGCAAAAATACCCAATCACATTTGTCAAGACTGATATTGATGTAAAATTAAATATTACATAAATCAAAAATAAAATCTGTACAGTTATCCTAGTTCTCCAGAATCAGACAGAAATTATATACACCAGAGATTTTTGCAGTTCATAATATAGAAGCATCCTAGAGTACAAATATGCATATGGTGCTCTGCTGTGAGTATCAAATATAGTTATTGTGTTAACAGAAGGAAATAGCATATGTTCAGAGGCTGCAGTGATGCATTGTAAGCTGCAGCTACAAATTTTCCAGATGGAACAGCCATTGATAGCACACAAGAACTCATAACTAGCTGTGTGGCAGACTAAGGTAACGTGTTAAATGTGCAGGGCAATCAAAAACACTTCATTCTACATTATTATGAACACACATCATGAATACAGTACTACCCTACACAGTTACACAGGGACACTGCAGCCAGCACATGTTGGCAGCCTTACAGCAACCACCATGTATGAATAATAGAAGAAAGGGTGGAGAGGACCAGACTACAGAAGCACAAGACCAGAGTTAGTGCTCAACACTCAGGGGGGTCAAATTGCAGAAGTGTGTGTGTGTACCATACCATACTCTACTCACAAGCAATTCATTATAGACCTGTTAAACTGCTCGTTGACACAAACTTCTAATCAGTCAGTCTATGGCACCACCTGCTTATCTTAGGCATGTAAACATGGTTGAGATGTTCTGCTGAATTTCCGCTGCAGTATTCTTTTGAAGAATAGGTGTTGCCACTCAGACACTACCTCCACATCAGTGCTGTGTTGTGTTTTTTTCCAGGATATCTCTTCTTTTCAAACTGTTGCAACATCTCCCTTTGTATAATCTGTGAGTCTGTGAGCATCTTTACTGACATATCTTTATAAAAGCATTACAGCTGTATACAATTGTGTCTTCATCCCACAATGTGCCAGGTTATAAAAATCAAGAGAGAGAAACTAGTGACAGTGCACATGACATCAATTAGACATCAACTCTATCATACAGTGCTGTTCACGAGCCACTGGTGGTGGGTATACTGGGGCCCTTCAGTTCTGCTTTGATATTCAGATAGCAGGATCAGAATTTTGCATGAACAACATGAAAGCATGGATCCATCCCGTCTTTAGACTTGTGGATTAATGGTATGGGAAATGTTTTCGTCCCACACTTTGAGCCTCGTACTACGAATTACTTGCTTAAACACCAAGGCCTACATGAGTATTATTGCTGAACATGCCCTTCTCTTTATGACCACAGAGTATCCGATTTCTGATGGCTGCCTGTCACTAAGCTCAAATCATCTCAAACTAGTTTCTTGAACATGACAATAAGTCCACTGTACTCAAATGGCCAAAGAGCATCTCTGGGACTTAGTGGAACAGGACAGTTGTATCATGGATGTGCAGTTGGCAAATATGCAGAAATTGTCACACTATCATGTCAGCTTTTGGCTGTTCCCTTGTCACAAGGGGCACATAGCTCTGCATTTTTGATTCGTCCAGATGGAGGCAAAAAAGTTACTATTCAGTACAAGCCAATGCTTTAATTTAATACAATCCAGTACTGTCTACTGCTACTTCGGTTTTCATATGTATGAAACATTCAGAACATAACTGATCTCATAGCAGTGAAAGCTGAGCCAGTGACCTCCTTCATTTAGATTAGCAGAGTTGATGCCTTGATGTATTGTATTTTATTGCCTTGCCAGTCCCCTCCCTTTCACTCCTCTTCAAGGTGGTCACAGAGCAGATTTTATTGATTATAAAAAGGGTGATGTTGTTTCTCAAGGAGATCCTTTATGGTCTGGATGATGTAGTCATGCATTACGGGATCTTATTAAGTGGTGAGATGTTTCACAAGCGTGTTTTACTTTTCCTCGAAGAATAGGGAAGGTTTAGACTCTGGGTTTCAGGTTGACATCAAATCTTGGCAAATCAACAACAATAATAATACATATTCAGTTTCTAGTCATGTATAATAAACAAATGTATATAAATGTATAATGTAATTACTGAAGCATATAAATTCATGTGATAAGTCATATGATTAGGGATGGGAAATGATGAGAATTTAGCAAGTGTGATTACCTGACAAAGCAAACAGCGTGGAGTGACGTGAATGTGGACCCAAAAGCAGGCACACAGAGAGGAGGCTGGAGATGAACAAATAGCGAGCCTTTATTGTTGGCTGCAATAACACCATGAACAAAAGGCAACAGGAGGAACTGAGACAAACTAACAAAACTTAAAGTTGGAAAAGCTAAACCTGTGGGACATGTGGAACATAGGAAACAAACAAAAACCTGAAACGGGCGACGAGGAACAAGAGATTTGTGAACACCTGGGAAGTAACACAGAGGATGACAAGCAGACGATCCGACAAGGAACAGAGGGAAACACACTGTTATATATACACACAAAGGTAATGAGGACAATAGGAAACAGGAAGGGAACACAGATGAGACCAATAAGACAAGACTAGACAAGGAGGAGAGCAAAACTGAAAACATTAACAGTGGGAAATACAGGAAAACAGGAAATACGCAAACTTAGAGACAAGGATGACTAGAGGTAACACAAGGGAGGCACAGTAACAAAACTTATAGACTAGAAAACCAAAACACTAAACAATGACTAAAGAAGCTAGAAATACAAAACTAAACCATGAAAACTAAATCACAGAATTTAACAAAAAAAATTGGAAATTAATTGCACAGTGTGTGGTGAAATGTTTGTAGATGCTGGAGGTATTTCCCCCATTTGCAATGATCAGTGTGGTGTCATTACTGAAATGTATTATGTAATGTATTGATTGCGTGTGCATCATCTTTCTGTCTATAAACATGATAGTCTGTTTGGATCGAAATCAGATATAACTGTGCAGGGTGTAGAGTGGGGTCATGCTAACAATCCATTACAATCTGGCTCACATCCACCAAGGTCTTCAGGGTCAACTTAATGATTAATTGGACTAAAATTGACAAGAAGCCTTATAACTTAGAAACATGATACTCAGTGTGGTGTGTGCATCTATAGAACATTAAGGAGCTACCATATAAAGATTATATTTTTCATCACATCACATTTGACCTCTGACCTCTCCTATGATGTCAATTGATGGAATTGAAGGATCTCAAGTTCATATGTTATGTAAAACTATTTGAAACTATGTCTTACAGCCATTGTTTGTATTGACTGCATATAGACATACAGGGAATAATACAGTG